ACCTTGGCAACTGCTGGGAGTGCCATAGCAACCACCTGTTAGGTGCCAGGAGCCGGTTAATGCTGCGGCCGGCGTCGAACTTCAGCTCCTGGCACCTAACAGCGTTTCTGTGATCCGCTCAGTCGACAAACGCTGTAAAACATGAAGAAACTGTGAAAGACGCTAAAAGCGGATAAATCAGCAGCGACGCTAACTGGTCTGTAGCAACAGGAAGTCAGCTGACGAGAAGTTTGTAAAACATGACACAGTGTTGTGCTAAAGTCAGAATGACCACGGTAGCTCCTGGAGCAACGATCCTGTTTAAATCCACCTCAGACACGCCCGCCGATTATAGGAAATCATCTTGTGTGAACGTCCCGTCTGTGTGCTGATTGGTTGTTTCCTGGCTCCTCCCCCTGCAGGTATGATGGGCCCGCCCCCTGGCATGCGGCCCCCGATGGGTCCTCCGATGGGGATGCCGCCGGGTCGGGGCGCTCCGATGGGGATGCCCCCCCCAGGCATGAGGCCGCCGCCCCCTGGCATGAGAGGTAAGCTGTTGCCATGGAGACGGGTCATCAATAATTACTGTGAACAGTCATGTGACCTCTGTGTTCTGTTTCAGGACCGCCCCCTCCCGGCATGAGACCGCCCCCCCGGCCCTGAGGAAGCCCCGCCCCTCACTCACCTGTATAGAGTTTTTGTTGTTTTTTTGTTTTTTAAATCTTCAGATTTGTGGGTTTTTTTAAATAAAGTTTCTTCAGGACGATTTGATTTCTGTTTCCATGGTAACGTTAATAAAGCCTGAAGTTGCAGCCAATCAGAGCTCAGATTACCTCATTATTAAACAGGAAGTGATGTCGCATGTTTCTGAAGCTGAACCGGTAGGACTTCTGTCCTCGGCTGATCTCTAAACCTGAGGTTGAAGTGACGTCACGGCGCTTTAAACAGACTTTATTTACAACACGGTTTCCTGTCGGAAAGAATCGCCGTTTAGCCGTCAGATACTCTGAAGGAACGGAAACAATTTATGATCAGGAAGTGAACGAGGGCGAATTCAGACAGAAAACACGACGTGATGACGGCGTGCTCCAGTAGAACCGCCGTCAGGAAGAACTGGACAAAGAATTTAAACTTGACTCAGGTCTCCATGAAAATGAGCGAATTCGCAACTCTGGGTTCAACTACACTTCCTCACGGTCAGACCCGTCATTCAGGTGGACTCGACACTGGAGCGCCCCCCTCCACCGCCTGTGGTGACAAATGTTTCCTGTGTAACTATAAGGTGGACATGAACACGGAGGAACCACGTGCTGTTCTCAGAAACTAAAGACCATCTGTCTCCTCGTCCTGTGAAGATCTTTGATTTCTCCACTGGTTTCATCTTCTGCGTCCTGCTGTGTGGACAACAAACCTGATTCACGTCTTCATGCTGGATTAGAGGGTTTATATAGAATCTGGTTCAGAGAGAATCAGGTCTCCTGTACCTGTCTAATAAAACCTTTGACCTCTGGTTTCATGTGAACTTTAACCTGAAGCGTCACATGGTTTTCTGTTCATGAACCGACTCACTGTTTTAACCACACCCTCGACCTTGTTCTGGTAGATGGTATTGAAATTGAACATTTAATAGTGTTCCCACAGAATCCCTCTTTGTTTGATAACTTTTGAGTTTGTATTGCTGAACTACTCGCCATTGGGCAAAAATTTCTATACAAGATGTCTGTCTGATAGTGCTGTAGCTAAATTTAAGGATGCGATTCCATCAGCTCTAAATACATTATCTAGTCACAAAGTAACGGAGGACTCCTATGCTAATTTCAGTCCCTCCCAAATCGATCATCTTGTTGATAGTGCTGCAGGCTCGCTGCGAATGACACTCGACTCTGTAGCCCCTCTAAAAAAGAAAATACTAAAAGACGGTTAGCTCCATGGTATATACTGAAACTCGCAAATTAAAGCAAATATCACGGAAACTTGAGAGGAATTGGCGTTCCACCAAAGTGGAAAATTCTCGTTTAATTTGGCAAGATAGTCTTAAAACTTATAGGAAGGCCCTCCGTAATGCCAGAGCAGCGTACTACTCGTCATTAATAGAGGAAAATAGGAACAACCCCAGGTTTCTTTTCAGCACTGTAGCCAGGCTGACAGAGAGTCACAGCTCTATTGAGCCAAGTATTCCCATAGCTCTCAGTAGTTACGACTTCATGAGCTTCTTTAATGATAAAATTCTAACTATTAGAAACAAAATTCACCAAGACCTGCCCTCAACTGGCACCGACTCATCTCTTAACTCAGGAACCTTAGAAACAGCTGTAGAACCAGATACATGTTTAGACTGTTTTGCTTCCCTCAATCTTTACCTACTAACTTCAATAATTTCTTCATCTAAACCATCAACCTGCCTCTTAGACCCCATCCTGACTAGGCTGCTTAAAGATGTTTTACCCTTAGTCAGCACCTCTATACTAGATATGATCAATCTATCTTTATCAACAGGCTATGTACCACAGTACTTTAAAGTAGCTGTAATTAAACCTCTTCTGAAAAAGCCCAAACTTGATCCGGATGTTTTAGCCAACTATAGACCTATATCTAACCTTCCATTTCTCTCTAAGGTTCTGGAGAAAGCAGTTGCTAAACAGCTGTGTGACTTTCTACAGAGCAATAGTTTATTTGAGGATTTTCAGTCAGGATTTAGAGCTCATCATAGCACAGAGACAGCACTGGTGAAAATTACTAACGACCTCCTTATTGCATCAGACAAAGGACTTGTCTCTGTACTGGTTTTATTAGATCTTAGTGCTGCATTTGATACCATTGACCATCAGATCCTATTGCAGAGACTGGAATATTTCATTGGCATTAAAGGAACCGCTCTAAGCTGGTTTAAGTCCTATTTATCAGATCGATTTCAGTTTGTACATGTTAACGATGAGTCCTCCATGCACGCCAAAGTTAGTCATGGAGTTCCTCAAGGATCTGTCCTCGGACCAATCCTCTTCACTTTATATGCTTCCTTTAGGCAATATTATCAGGAAATATTCCATAAGCTTTCATTGTTATGCAGATGATACTCAGTTATATCTATCGATCAAACCAGATGAAACTCATCAGTTAGCTAAACTTCAAATGTGCCTTCAGGATGTTAAAACCTGGATGACCTGTAATTTTCTAATGTTAAACTCAGATAAAACTGAAGTTATTGTTCTGGGGCCTAAGCACCTCCGTGACGCATTATCTAAAGATATAGTTTCCCTGGATGGCATCGCCCTGGCCTCCAGCACCACTGTGAGGAATCTTGGAGTTATCTTTGATCAGGTCGTTTAAATCTCACATTAAGCAAATTTCAAGGACCGCCTTTTTTCACCTACGTAATATTGCAAAAATCAGGAACATCCTGTCTAAAAATGATGCAGAAAAACTAGTCCATGCATTTGTTACTTCTAGGCTGGATTACTGCAATTCCTTATTATCAGGCTGCTCGAAAAAGTCCGTTAAGACTCTTCAGCTGATCCAGAATGCTGCAGCACGTGTTCTGACAGGAACCAGGAAAAGAGATCATATTTCTCCTGTTTTAGCTTCTTTGCATTGGCTTCCAGTAAAATCCAGAATAGAATTTAAATCATTCTTCTTACCTACAAAGCTCTTAATGGTCAGGCACCATCTTATCTTAAAGAGCTCATAGTACCTTACTACCCCACCAGAGCACTGCGCTCCCAGAATGCAGGGTTACTTGTGGTTCCTAGAGTCTCCAAAAGTAGACTAGGAGCCAGAGCGTTCAGCTATCAAGCTCCTCTCCTGTGGAACCAGGTTCCAGTTTGGGTTCAGGAGGCAGACACCATCTCCACATTTAAGAGTAGGCTTAAGACTTTCCTCTTTGATAAAGCTTATAGTTAGGGCTGGCTCAGGTGAGTCCTGAACCATCCCTTAGTTATGCTGCTATAGGCCTAGACTGCCGGGGGATTTCCCATGATGCACTGAGCTCCTCTCTCCTCTACTTTCTCTCCCTCTGTATGCAACCTCATCCCATTATTGCATGTTACTAACACAACTTCTCCCCTTTCTGGTAGTCTTGTGCTTTCTCGTCTCTCTCCTCTCTCCTCCTGTCACTTCCTGCAGGTGTTTCTGGCTCTGGAGCTGTGGAGTCTGGATCTGTGGTTGCGGGTCACCTGCTGCCCCCGTGTTCCTGCTCGACACCTTCTGCTGCAACGACTATTGTTGCTAGTCTTATTGTTATTATGTTATTATAATCATAACATTACGATTGTTATCATTAACACTATTATAATATCTGTACTATTTTTCATTTAGTCTATAGCAACATTACCTTTACTGTCTGTACCTCTTGTGTGATATTGTGTAGGCTGCCTCCCCCCCCCCCTCTCTCTCTCCCTCTCTC